CACCTAGTGCACTGGTAATCCTTAGAACTGCATCATTCCATTTTTTTAAAAAAGGTATCTTGTAAATATTTTACATGTATCATAATGCTCATGCAAGAGTATCATTTTACATATCTTAATTGCATTTCCTGCATTTTGAAAATGCCTAAGCTGAAGTTTAGAATTGTAAAATTTCTCAAAATGGCCATGTATTTGCAAGGAACTTAAAAGGTTAAAGCTGGATGAAAAGATGGCAAAAATAGAGCCCATAGATTTTACATGAAAACTTGGAGACTATGTTTTTTAACTTATGAAACATAAAGAAAACTTCAGAATAGTCTGAAGCTCAGGACCCTACTTATTGAATTATTCTTCAGTCATTATAGCACTGATGGTAACGTTGAGAAAATATATTAAGAGTAGGAGGTGTATTAGTTCTTGGGAGGGCATAGTTATGGCATGTAGAGAATGTACTGGTATTTTCTGTAAAATGAATACAGATTTCTGCAACTTAAACTACCAGTACAGAAATGCAAAGTGATATTCTTAAAAAATGAGACTTTAAAATTACATTCCTAAAAGCATTATATCACAAATTAAATATAAACAACATTTTTCAAACAAGTGAGTATCAGTCTTGAATTATTGCATCACAGTCCAGATTTCCCATTATTTTTTAGTCTTGGGTCTTTACAACAAGCAAACATTAATGCTGCATACAGCTTTAGGCATATAAAATCAGAAAATAAAGGTCTAACATACTAAGTGTATCATGTTGCCAGGAAGAAAAGCCCAAGGAAGCTGTGTGTGGTACCACTCAGAGAGAGTGCCAGTTTAGCCAAATAATGAAACCAAAAGGAAAGCAGGAATTCACATAACAAAGTCATGGATTCTGACTGTAAAAGGAATGTATGTAATTATATTGTCTTATATAAATACTCAATAAACTTTCAATTAAAATTTTTATGATGAAGATGTATAGCAAAGAAATTCTGGCAGCTGACCACAGTTCATTTTCAAAAAATATTTAGGACTCTCTGCTTAGACAAGGAAAGTGAGACATCGCATTTCACAGAAAGTGAAGTATAGTGTCAGGGAAAATCTGCAATGTCTTCAAGGACAAATTCTGCCCTGTTTAGAGAAAGGACAAAGAAACTAACACCTCCAGGATCAGGCCTGGTTCTGCTATGTTTGGCCTGACATTACCCAGCCACCATATATAGCCATGCAGCCAAAAAAAAAATGCAGAATAAATGCTGCCTTTACACAGTAGTTAAAGGGTGCAAAAGGGAAATGTTTCAGAAAGGAAATTGAGTGGAAAAGAGCTGAGAAAGCAGCTACAAAGGAAGAAGGACTCAACAAGAAACAAATATTTTAAATGAGCCAATGTCAAATATATATTACATGAAGGAGAAACAGAAGCTGTGGGAATCTTAAGCAAGGAAGATTTCAGACTGCAGGGTTAATTTTTAAATGCCAGAAGATATGGCTGCAGCATATCTAAACAGCTTATTTGATAAAGAGATGGCTTAACTGAAGCATCATTTCCCAGTACTTGGCTGATAAACAGGAACTCAGACGCAGGTCAAAACAATCAGGCCAGCAAGAACATATTTTACCCAAAGCCACAGCTTTCAAAATTTCCTGAGATATCTCTCCCATGACTTTTGCTCCTGGAGTCCATGCTTCTACTTGCATGTCCACAAACAGCAGCTTGCCAAGCATCTGCAGCTGAACTGCACTGATCTGAACTGCACTCCCTGCTTGACTTTTTCTCCCACTCCTCAACTCCAAGCCAAATACAATTAGCTCTGATAGTCAGCACTGCCAGTTTCTAAATTCATCACCAGGTCTCAGTTCTTTCGCCTCCTTGTTCTCCTGTGATTATTATGAACATGTCTCTCCTTATCTTTTCACCAAGGCTATATGTCAGCAGATTCTTTCCCTGGTTTCACTCTCTAAAACACAGATTCTTCTAGGTTGCTAAAACTGTCACCCAGGCTCATAACACCGTGCATTCAATTATGGCAATGTTCCCCCTCAGCCTGGACAAATGCAATCTGTCATCATTGCTTTCCACTCAAAATGCTGCTGAGAAATTTATTTTTTGAGCCCATCATCTGTCTGTGTCATTCTTACCTGTACCTCCATCCATTGGATAAGCTTTCCCTACCTCATCAGTCATAGCTATTTACTTTGATTTCCAAGAAATTTCAAAGTCTAACTCATCATTCTTCAGCTCTCTCCAATCATTTTCAGTCTGTACCCGAGAGCTTATTATGCTTGCCCTCTATGTCTGACTAGTTAAATGTGAGAATCTTTGTTCTTTCTGTGCCATATTTCTCTGTAAATATCCCTGGATGAATAGCATGAGACAAATGAAAATATTATGTTCATTGCCGGATTAGAAGCAGTGAGCTTCTGAATGCAAAATTCCGTGGCAGTAAAGCTGGGTAAATAATTTACAGCATGGAATTTATTTATTGTATTTTACTTAATTTTCTATTTACAGAATGGTGAATTTTGTATTCAGGTGCACCCACCAAATAATCTTCGCAAATTATTCTTGCCATGCTGCTTAAAAACAAACAAATTTTAAAACTGATGGATTTGCATTACATGATAAATATCTGTAGCCTAGTTACACGAGTATATCTTTGAGGCAGGCTGGGTACAAATATTGTTGATTAAGTATCAAAAATTCACTACCTGACAATAACATCTAAAATCATAATTGTTGTGGTGGTGATCATTCCTAGCAATAAAACTTGCTTCCAGAATATCACCTGAAACAAATGAAAAAGATATAAATACAAGCTATTTTCATTTTAAAAGGAAAATGTTTTCTTTCAAAAGGATTGCTATTTTATTTTAAGCCTGATTCTGTAGTGACACAAAAAAGGGTTCACTGCTTGAGTTTTTCTTTCTGTAGTGCTAAACTGAGTCATTTTCACTTAACTCCTCAGAAATTTTTTTAGACTTCTGGTTAAAAAAAAAATTAAAAAACATTTGGAGGGGAGAAAAAAGGTACATATAGCTCCAAAACAGCCAAAGTGCACACTGCCTTGCTCATGAGTGAGCGGTGGTGGGAATCAAGGGACATGTAGGCAGGGTCCGGGGACAGGAGGAGTAGGGAGATGAGGAAAATCCAGGATGAAAGGATCTGAGATGGAACTGCCTATATTATGGCAGCAACAGCAGAGAAAGGGTGTCAGAGCTGCAAGCCATTCCCCCATAGAAAAACAGGTTTTATTCACACCTTTGCTCACAGAATTACATAAGAGTCTTGACAAGGAAGTGGTTGCTCCTTTTTTTATGAATGCATAAATCTCATCTTTGCCTGTCTCAACAGCTATGACCTTATTTCACTGGTCAGGACTGTCTTTTCATAAAGTAACATCTTTCTAGCCACAGTAGCCCAAAGCTAGGTGAAAGGCAGAAAGCCATGGTCTAAATTATATAATATTAATGACCTATGCATAAATATTCCTTCTTAGTATTCTCACAAGACTCAAACAAACTTCTTTATAGTCAGATCATAGAGTTTTGCATACTTTATATCCTATTCCCATGCAACCATAATTTTCAACAAAGGATATTCTGAATGCTTCAAAACAGCTGAAATTAATAATTTGGGAACACAGTGAGTACACCCATGTGAACACACAGCTTGTGAAGCAGAGTCACTAGGTATCCCTCCTGACAAGTCCTGTTCTTGAAGCTGGGCCATAATCCATGCAGCAACATTAGACTAACACAGGCTGAGATCACACTCACTATCTTTTCTGACAGTACCACCATAACAATTTTCAAATGAGGGCTGCTACCTTCCACTGTATTCATGTCCCAAGATGGCCTTTTGCTTCTGAGCATTAGTAAAACAAACCCCTAAACCAGGAGCCCAAAACTTCTTTACAGTGTGCTTGTTTACTTTGGTAAATTGCTCTACCAACCTTTATCTATACCATTTTCAGTTCTATCTGTGGAACATGCTGCAACTTTTCAGCCATGATTATTATTTAGGTGGGTAGTCATTATTTTTCAATTCCTTTTAAAGTGCATTAAATGCTAGAAATTAAAGGAGCAGGAAACTTGTGAGACCTCTTTCTCTACAGCCTATCAACAAATACTATACGAAATTGTTTGAAAACTGTTAGTTTGCAAACCTCAGGCATATAATAAAATCAATACATAATTTTACAACCACATTTTTTTTCTCTTGTGCATTAACATATAAAAAGAAACTTGCTCTATTTCTTCTATCACAAAATTAAAGGTATTTCATATACAAAACAGTCTGTAGGCTTCACAGTATAATTACACTGCTAACATCTTCAGTGCATTTATTAAATTCTACCTCCCCTGTTTTTTCTCTCAAATACATACTGGACACCAAATCCATTTAAGAAAAGTGAAGATGAGTTCTTTAGTGGGACCAACATGTGTGACATTTCCCTTGGAGCATGGCACACCAGCACCATGTCCCATTCATTACATTTACTATGCACAGAAGTCTGCTATACTCTTCCAGTTTTTCAGTGGAAGCTGAAGTTTTTTACAATAACTTTTTTTTAGAGAATGCTCTACTCCTCATGGAAAATTTTAGTTCTTTGAAGGGAAAGATAAATGCCTAAACTCTAAACCATTCAAGCTGAAAGTGAGTGGCTCCCAGGAGCTGCAGCTTGGGTTAGGATTCATCACTGTGCACTTCTTCATCTTAGGATGCTTTGGCTGGTGTGTCATTTGAAGGCAACCAGGCTATAATACATGAGATAGATATTTCTATAAGAAAATGGGAATATGAGGCCTATATTCCCATGGGAGTACCATGATGACAGTTTCATATTGAAGCATTTGAGTTTCAGTGGTCATATTTCAGATCTGGGGTTTTTTGCACATAAAACAAAAATATTGCCTTCATATTTTTCTAAGGAAGGTCTGCAATTTAGGAAGGAAGCTACTGGGATTTTTTCTGCCTTCATTTCAGTTATCTTTTGCTAGGTTAGGACTCGAGCACTTACCTTGTAGATGTCAAGGAATCCACACTGGTGGTCGAAGCGTGTGTAGAGCTCGTTGAGCATGCTGATGACCTGCATGGGCGTGCACTGAGCACAGATGGCAGTGAAGCCAACAATGTCCGAGAAGAGCATGGTGACATCATCAAACTTCCTGGCCTGGACCTGCTGCCCCTGCCACAGCTGCTGGGCCACCTCTTCAGGGAAAATAGAAATAAGGAGATCTACTGTCTTCTTCTTCTCCTCTTCCAGGGCTTGGTGTGTACATTCTAGCGTTGCCTTCAGCTTATCCATTCGTTTTTTCAAGCCATCCTGCGCCTTTGCTTGCTCCCCAACCAATATGACATCACGAGTAGCATCGTGGATAGGTATGTCTGAAAGATGGAGGCCTCGGCCCATCAGCTCATCCAGCTTGTCCACACAGGGGGAACCCAGGAACAATATCGAGTTTGATTCTGGCACGTGAATCATTTGTCCTTTAATCTCCATCACCTGTAAATTACAAAAAAAAAAAAAAAAAGGGGTTTAGACAAGGGGGAAAATCAGCTTATAGATGTGGCTCCTCATTCTTCTTTCTCCATCTTTTCAGCTAAAACAATTAACTGCAGCCTTTTATACAGAAGCTTTTTGCACTCACCTAATCAAGTAATGAGACTCAGTCTGCTCACCAAATTGAGCCAGAAAATAACTTAAACTGACACAAAAGTATTCCCAAATCAGATGTTGGATTTTATTTGTACCCAATTAAATAAGAAAGCAATAACAAGTATTCTCAGACTGCCGTCTAAATAATGCTCCTGGAATGTACCTGGCCTTACAAGCAAATTTCAGAGTTGTTCTTTCTCTGTTACTTAGCTATAAATTACAAAAAGCAAAAAACTAAAGAGAAATTGCAACTGTCTGAAAGCAGGTTAGTGAAATGAAGTGCCTTCTGTTCTTTTTCAGCAGAATATCTAATACAAGTCAATTGTGGCCATTTTATAGAGGAATCAAATAAAAATAGATGTGAAAAACAGCTCTATAAAATAACAAATGGCATGGAAATATTGTACTAGTCCTCCTGTTTCCTGTCTTCCTTCTCATACATGCAGCAGAGTTGAAGGCTGACACTCAGTTAGAATCTGCAGATTTCTTGGTAATAGAGATTAATCCAATTTGTATTTGTGGAACAGCAGAAGGTACAGTAGGGAAGGAGCATCAGCTGGTTCATCACACTGGTTTATAGCTTTTACATTGGCCTGTTAAATGGCTGGGTGTTTTGAGCACTGTCCAAGGGTTGATATCACTCAGGCTGTGGATTGTTACCTCTTGCTCCATGATGGCAGTCGAGCACATAACTACCAGACTGAAATGGACATTGAAAACTAAATTAAACCAGACAAACTGTGTCTATTTGTAAATGCAGCTTGCCATAGCCTCCGTCATAACAAACAACCCCATTAATGTTTCCATTCCAGGACTGCACAAAGACCAGGGAAATACTGTGCTAGGTGATCAAAAATATCTACAAACCTTACCCTGAGGATCTCATAGTCAATACAGGCATAACACACAAACCTTGTGCATCTAAGCAGTTAGGCACCATAATGCCTTGTATCTGTGTTTTCTATTCCACACAATCTCTTGAAATGAAAAGGCCCCCTCCAGTCACCATTTGTTTTATCACATAGACATTTGCTTGCTGTCACATGAGTCACTTGTAATTTAATCCTCCATCCATCCATAATCCTACCAAGCAAAATTAAAAAACCTCCACCAGGGAATCCAGAGATGTCTGTAATAATTATGTGATTTAAGTGTCTAGTGGCCTGAAAGCTCCTGCTGAGGTGACAGGAATTCTATATGGAACTTCCATGTTTGGGAGAGATTTTAGGAAGCTCCTCTTTCTATTAGTTTGTTTTAATTTTTTTTTTTTTCCCCTCAGGTAATATGCTGTCATTGCAGACTCTATGGCAACATGGGAATTGAGCCTATCCTGTCCCTATTGCCCTCTGCCTTCTCTGCCAGCAACCCAACATGCAGCTTTTGATGACAGCCAGGGAACTCAGCAAGTGAAAATAAATCCAAGTCATTAAAATTGTCAAATTTTCTAATTTCTGTTCATGCACACCTACTAATATTTACATTTCTAAGCTTTGCTTCCTCAGCTTCACTCTGGGACATTCATCTCTGTGAGAAATCTAGTCAGCTGCCTACATGAGCTGATTTAATGCTCAATGGCTAAGTGTTCTTTTCCTACTTTTGAAACATGGCTCCCTGGGAAATAGGATGCTTTCTTCATGCATGCAGCCTCATGCTTTCAAAAGACCACATGCAAATTTGTTTTAACTCCAAAGTACAAGTTGCCAAGTATGCCAAGTATGAAATACATGGTACAGCATTTCTAAATTCTCTTCCTATTTCGCTCCCTTGTGCCCGAGAGTTTTCTGTTTGTAGAATTTCACCCTTGTGCAAAATAAAAGTATCTCATATTATCACTGTCCTCTTCCATCTCCAGGTGAAAACAGGGTGTTTTCAGCTCAGGAGGAGAGAGTGTGACCACAGACCCTGGCTGAGCCAGCCCAGCCTGGGCTTGAGCTGCTTGTCAGCAAGGCAAGGCACCTGGCTTGGAGTTGTGCTTCTCCTGCTAACCTGCTGTGAGACCAGAAGAAAATCAATGCATCCCCCTGTGCTCTCACTTTGCCTCTGTCAATTTGAGGTGTTAAACTCTTTGATGTGATCTCTGTCTGTGCTAACATATTGTGCCAACCTTCCCCGGGTGGACTTTTCTCAGGGAACTGAGTAAATAATGTACTAAACAGGCACTCTGGAGCCCTCTGCTCTGCTTCTGGGTAACCCCAGGCAAATTACCAACCCTGACTTCTTATGTGGCCTTTCAGCACAGCAGGAACAATGCTATTGACCACCCTGTAACACACTTTGAGACGTATGTGTGAAAAGCAATCAAAGACAGACAATCCTGTAAAATGCCTAATAATAACCAAGTGAGCTGACCCCTGCTTCAACAAGGTTGAGTGCTTCCAGAGCATTTTTAGAAACTTTTGCAAAGATACTCTTCCTACACAACTGATTAGCTTCCTAAAACTGTCAAAAGTTCAGTGATATTTCAGCTTTATCCCCTGAATATCATTATCACTTGTTCTGCTTAAGAGGAATTGTTGATGTTTCCTCTCACTTCTTTCATGTTATATTAGTGATTTTATATTAGTGATTCTGTCGTCCTGCTCTCTCTTGATGACTGAGGGATGTTTTAGAAAATGGCCTGCCAGTCTCTTCAAGTTGCCGAATCAGGGAACAGGACAGCAGACAAAAAACTGCCCCAGCTTTCCTGGGGAGAAACACTCAGGTCTTGTAAAGAACAGTAGAGAAGAGTTAAGACTGCATCATTCTTCCCAGTTTTTGCAAAGTCCTTTCCTTTCCAAAGAACTTTCAGAGATAATTCAGACACTTTCTAGCAGATTTTAGTCTGCAACTGTGATCCAGCACGACCTCCATCTCTTTTCTTTGATTTCTCTTGCTTCTTATATTCTTCTTTGTATCTTAAAATACAGCTGATGTTATAGGATATCAGGTTCGCCTGAAGCTTGCCATAGTAAGCCACACTTCTGGGCACCTCCCCAAAGCTTTATCTAGACCATAAGCCTACAGGCAATCAGGATAGCATCATCCATCTTTCTTGTAAGCAGGAAAAGATTGAAACATTTCTGTCATCACTTGTATTTCATTACTACTACATTTCATTGCCTTCCTGTCTCTTTAATTATATTCTCACTGAATAAAATGAGAATAATTCTACCATTTTCAGAGGACATTCTCCTGATTTACAGTGGTATAAGAGAACATTTTGAAAAGAGCAATTATATATGATATTTTGCAGTCTTATGTTACAGTGAAATGATAGTGCAGCCTAAGTAGCTCCGGGATGAAAAACAAAAAACCTATCGCTGAATTTTTCTTCCACTGCAAACCCACTACAAAGAAAGGGAGCAAACAGTTCCTGATTCTAAGGAATTCTTTCAGCCTCTCTCCCCACATACCTAGCTTGGAAATACTGACAGATTCTGAAGCTGCTTTTTGAGAACATGGAGAGTCTCCTGCTGAGCAGGGCACCAGCAGCTACTGCATTAGGTACACAATATCCAACCCTCTGCACACCCTCTGCATACTCTGGATGCAAGCCACCCTAGGACCAAAAAGATCATGAATCAAATCCCAAATCCACTGCCTAATCTTTATGGAAAAGCACAGGGAAAAGCTTTGCTGGCTGCACTGAGGGAGGATACTACTCCATACAAAGAAGTGTGTTTTAGAATAGTGACTGAGAGAAAGTGTACACATCTCCTCAAAAAGATTAAGGAAATATGGGATGATATCCTTGAGAAATAACTGGGGGGTTAAAAAGGATTTTCTTTCTAATTGGCCAGACCTTTTCTGCAGTCTCTGCAATCCACAAATTTCAATGGAGCTGCTCCTTTGATTTTGATCAGTGCATAAACCGTCCCAAACTGTGATAATAGTCTTCTTTTTTTTTTAGTTTTATTTATTGAGATTAGGTTAGAAACTTACAGTGCTAGGTCACACTTTCATACACAGTTGCACATGCATGCTTGATTTCATACAATGAACAAATTCAGTAAGAGAAAACAGAGCTGCTTCCTTATCACAGTTTTTCAGAAGATGGAAAGACTGGGGCAAAATTAGCTTGAACCTGAACACCATCACTGTCATCACTTCAAGGTACAAAGAGTATAGGGTGAGTTTCAGACAGGAGGTCCAGCTGCTAACCTAAATTTTGAAATAACAGGACTTCTCTGAAAGTCCTATAGGAAACATGGCAGTGTCTCAAGAACATTTACAGCAAGGTATTTCATAATATTTGAGCAGTTAGAGGCTATGGGGATTTTGTGAACACTGGACAAGGCAACAGTACACTGGCAGAAAGAAATGTAATTACTTTCTTGCTATGTCTGCATGACACATCTAGAAGGGCTGAAAGTATGACAGACAACACTGGAATTAAAAAATTCACTTAAATTGGAAAAATGGGTTAATGCTGGAATCCAAAACAAGGGCAATAAATATGTTTAGACAGAAATAATCAAATGGAAAAAGTACAGGCAGGCTAACTGTTCCTAGGAAGATGGCCCAGAGTGCACAGATGGAAACGAATGTAAGCCAACATGTCATGGTGTCACTTCAAAAGGAAATGCTATACAGGACTATATAAACAAAAATACAGCTTGTAAAACACTGGAAGTAATCCTTATGCTGTGACCACCAATTTTCACAGTAGAGTGAGATAAGTCAGCAGAACTAGCTATGAAAATTCATGAAAATAAGAAAAAAATCACATTCCAATGAAAGCTTGATTTGCTATTTTATCTGTAGACAAAAATAACAAAAGATCATCTTCCATTACACCCATGTTTTATTGAAAAAAGAAACTAAGAAAAACACATATCATCTCCACGGAAATGAAAAATAACTTTTCA